CTTGGATGTGGGGGGTTCCAGCCAGCATGTCTGTCCTACCGGCTGCATGGCCCAGCCCGGCCACCCAGCACTTCGAGCCTCCTTCTCCCCCTGCAACAGAGCACACTGTCCCCTGTCTCTAGAGTCACGGTGAGGACTGAATGGGACGGGGGCTTGAGGTGCTAGTTCCAGATACATGGGCGGCGGCCAGGAGCTGCTAACGCGTCTTATTACTCAGCCTGTGGGCAGGCACCTGTCAAACTGGTCCAGGCCTTTGACCTTCAGGTATGACCTCTCCTGCGTCTGACTTGGCCTCTACCGCCTCCGTTCCTTGCCCCAGGTGAGGTGCTACCTGAGTAGGTTGACCCCTGGAACCTTACCCCTGGCCTGACCCGGTCCGCTGACGTGACCCTGGCTGGGGGGTGGGGCTTACATCGGGGCCAGCACCAGGGCAGCAGCGCCCTTCCTGCGGGCTAGTGAAGTGCTGGGACCACCCGAGCCCAGTGCCTACACTGGTGATTCGTGCCAGGAGACCACGCGGGGGAGAGCCAGGGCTCCGGGCCCAGCTGCCTGCCTTGAAGCCTGGGTCCACTACCCTCCCGGTGTGACACTGGGCACGTCATGTCTCTGGGCCTCAGTTACTTCACCTGTGAAGTGGGCTAGCAAGGTCTGTGTGACCAGTTGCCTGTCATCTCTCCACTGTACCCATCTTCCCCCTGAGTGCCTACAGCCTGGTCCAGTGTGCCCGTCACACTTGGTTGTAACCCGGAATTCCAGCGGGTGGCCCCGGAGGCCTGCCTGCAACTCTGAACTCGACCCACCCTGCGGTGAAAATGCGTGAGTTCTGAGTCGTCTCCAAGCTCCTCACTCGTATTTTGTAAACTGTATTCGCGTTGCCATGTTCTGAATAAATTGATGTGCCTAAAATATAACTGCATTTTTCACTTCTCGACCAGCTGCTTCGATCCGTAGCAGACACAACCACGTTCCCCGGTGGGAACACACGCGGGCCCCCGGGGAACAACGGACGGCTTTCCAAAGGAAAGACGAGTAATGCTTTGTAAAGGTGATTATACGCCAGGAAGTAAGAAAGCTTTTGCGTAATAAAAATTTCTCATTGGCCGTGGAACCCGAGTGTTTACAAACTCTCGGGTCTGAGGGACAAGAGAGGGAAAAAGGGAAAGATGTTGAACTGTGTTTGGAAATTTTCGGACCAGGAGCTGCCCCATGTTCGCAGTGAGTCCTGCGCCTCCTGGCACAGATGTTCAAGCCCCACAGAGTTGTCATTGTCATTGGGAGGAGAAGCAGGAGTAGACCTTCTACCTACCACACCTGTAAACCACCTGGGATCTGCGGTCTGTGATGACACCAGGAAAGTCTCTCCCGAAGCCTTGAGGAAAGTCCCACAGTGAAATGACAGCAAGTTCTGTTTGGTGAGCCCAAACCAGAGAAAAATCAAGAAGCGTTGCCGATGTATAAAAATAGATACGGGTCAGGCAGCAATATGGAGATGAGAGCCTGTGGGCTGCAGAAGCCGGTACACTCTGTTTTGTTCTGTTCTGTTCTTTCCCACCACGTTTACCCAGGAAATCAACATGAAAGCGAGCGAGAGACAGGCTAGGTGAGAAACCGGCTCCAGCGAGAGCAGGCGCAGACTGTTACAGACACAGATGCCTTCATCTATTTGTGGAAGCCACGGAGATGCTGATGGGGGGGGGGGCGTGCATCTTCCTGCTGGCCTCCCTGGGGGGAAAGCTTCCCAGAACTAAGGGATGCCCCCGGGACCAGCGCAGCATCCGTCACTAAACCTGTGCCAGACACACCCTCCCGTGACCACTCAAGGCCCAGTCCACCAAAAGAATAGAACCCACCTTCTAAACAGGGGTCTAGCCCTGGCCAGTTTGGCTCAGCGGTTAGAGCGTTGGCCTGCGGTCTGGAGAGACCCGGGTTCGGTTCCCGCTAAGGGCACGTACTTCGGTTGCAGTTTGTCCCCGGCCCTGGTTGGTCATGCGGGTGGCAGCCACTCGATGTGTCCCTTCACATCGATGTTTCTCTCTCTCTCTCCCTTCCTCTCTCTCCCTCCCACTCTATCTGTACAAAAATGGAAAAATATCCTCGGGTGAGGATAAAAAAATAAATTAAAAAAAAAATAAACAGGGGTCTAAGATGATGGCCTTGTTGGAAGAACTCCACTCTACATGTAGTCGACCTTTAACTCATAACAGGAAAATCTGCTGGTTCCTGGGTCTTCAGGCACCTCTTAGTCACAGGAGGTGAGCGGGGACCTTTGTCCCAGAGCACCCCCTCCAGCCTATGGAGAAGTGTTGACCCCATCTCGGGAGAGGGGGTGGATCACTCACCCCCATAGATCCGCTTCCCCTTAGAGTAGACGAGCGATTCTGTGCCAGCCTGGACCAGCCAGGATGCTAACGGGAGCGGGAACCAAAGCCATCTGCGGAGTCTTTGTCTCAAAGATGCTTCCCGAAAGAGTACAAGTGACATGTTTGAAGCTCACCTGGGTCACCAGCACTGCCAATTCGATTGGTGTGTGACAGGAGTATGGAGACCCTACACAGTGGTCAGGAGAGAGGATCCATGATGAAAAAGCTAAGGGGCCAACTACAGGAAACATGATTTCACCATTTGACACTTTAAAGTACCCTACAACTGGGCGTTCACTGCACGCATAGATCCTTTCTCTCCTCGGGGAAGCCCTTTGGATGTTTTTGAAAAAATTATGTGTAAGAGGTGGAGAATGTCGTTTAGCACACACACCAGCCGGTCAACACAGCAGCTCTACGACTCAGGGGTGGCTCCTCATAGTTGTTTACCCAGACAGCAAAGAAGAGTGAGAGAGTTTGTACCCCTGGGGTGCAGAGTGCTGAGTATGGGTGTTGGAAAGAGGAAAAGAAATGGTATCAAACCATGTTGTGGGGTTTCTGAGATACACCAGTAAAAGTTGTAGGGACTTTAAAAATTATTTCCTGTTGCTTTATGCTTCCTGGAATGCAACACCTTGTAAAAACTGAATCACACGAGGCCCCTGTTTATGTTTGGGTTTCAGGCGTTTCTTCTAAAATAGTCAAAACAATTCAAATGGAAAACAGGGTCCTACATCCCTCCCACGAGGTCTCTCTACTCACTGTACCCAGACCTGATACCCTTAGCCCCTCCAGCCCTCTCCTGTGACGCACTGAGAGGCCCTCCTTGGCTCCTGGCTTCAGTGATGCTTTCCACACCCCCTTCCACTTGTGCCCCGGTCCTCGGTGTCTGTGCACCCCCGCTCTGCTGAGACACCTCCCTGAACCCAGGGGCTCACCGGAGAACATCTAGAGACAATGACTCTGTGAAGGAGACACTCGTCATGATCGTCAAGTTCTCATGAGTCTCTTGCCTTGAGAACAGGGTGAGTGAGCATTATTAGAATGATTTTAAAAAATTTATAGACAGGGTGTATTATTTTTGAATAAAGGTAATAGGTTAAGAACCTTTGCTCATGAGAAGAGTTCTCTTAATATCATTATTCTTAGATATGCTGAAGAAAGATAACATAGTTGAGTGAATAAGATGTATGCACCTGCTTTCAATGAGTTAAAATACTAGGAATTGTCCTCGGCTACCGAGTGGGTACGTGTCCTCATGGTTCTCCAGTTGCAGCTGAAACCTGGTCCCTTCTCAGCCCCTTCTCTATGCAGGGGACCTTCTGTTGTGTACACATCACAGGGTGCTTAGGATGGGACCACATTTACTCAGATTTGAATCTCTACACCTGTCACAGTGTATCATCCATAAGAGCATTCAGTAAATGTGAGTTGAAGGAATAAACTAAACCAATACATTCCTTAACCATTGGAGAATTTGCAGAGTTTTTATTTTATTTTAAAAATATATCAGTCCACATAGAAAAGCTTTGGTTAGGGTCAAAAAAACTAATTGTAAAGCTTTGGGTAAAAAACCCACTATGTTTGGATCTCTGGGCTTTAAATTCAAAACACGATTTGTGCAATGCCTACGTTTCTGTGATGAAATAAAAGGTTTTGCCTTTTTGATATGTGGGTCTTCAAATTTTCAAAATTGCATTTTATGGTTTTTCCTTTTTTGTTGAGAGAGAGAGAGAGAGAGAGAGAGAGAGAGAGAGAGAGAGAGAGAGAGAGTTGGGGGAGTTAAGAACGAAAACCAGCGAACAAACAAGCCACTTTGATGAAGCAGAGTCAGCTCATGAAGCATGTTGCATTCGGTGCCAAATGACACTCACTAAAACTGCAGCGATATTTCATGCACTTGCCAAAGTTTGTGTTATTTTTACTTTAAAGATGTAGCAGATTACGGCAAAAGAAGTAATTGAAGCCTAATACATCAAAAGAGTCCAAACGCTTGTGTCTTTGACTTCTGGCTTCTCTTCTGGGACTAAGCCGTGCCCCGCAGAATCAACCCTGGTGTCTCAGTAACACTCCATGTGGACTGTGGGTTTTTTTGCTTTGTTTTGCAGAGTTGAATCTATTTTCCACCGTTCTGTTCCAAATGTCATTGTTCAGTGCTGAAGCTGTAACACCCCTATATAGGAAGAAAGGGAATAAACTCCATAGCATCTACTTGTGATCTTGTAGGAGGAGAGTCTGGCAGGGGTGTGAGAACACTCTCTGGGGAGAAGCTAACCCAAGTTCCACAGGGATCTACCATTTCCATACTGATTCATATTTAAACCCCAAGCCATGAACAATGGGTCAAATTTTGCACACAGTGTCCTCAGTTTAACTTAAAATAGCTTCAGATTTGGCACAAGAACTTCACACAAAATGATCCCACCCTCAGTCAGTTATTGGACTTCTCACCCCATTGTGTGCCTTGATGGGACAACCAAGAGAGAAGAAACAGCGATATTAAAAAAGAAATCGAAAGCCAATCTTTGTGCTGTTCTGTGCTTCCTAAATGTGGTGGAACAGCTTTTATGAACAGAAAACAAAGATTCAGTATAAAAATACCTTAACAATAAGCTGCAACTTTGTGTTCTATTAACACAGGTAGACACTGTGAGGTCCATCAGATGATCGGGAACTACATGTGGGACCCCAACACCAACAAGTCATTTGACATCGGTGTCAACAAAGACAGCCTGATGCCTCTCTGGTGGAATGGATCAGAACCTCTGTGGGTCACTCTGACCAAGGCCAAGAGGAAGGTCTATATGTACTACTGGCCAGGTGAGTACATCCAGGCCCTTCCGACGTTCAAAATCTCAAAACACTGCGGAGTGTCTGAAGACAAAGACTGTGGATGACGTGTTTGAAAACCATGCAGGGTTTGGAAAATGGTATTTTTATTCAAGAAATGTGTCTTATGAGCATGTTTGTAGAAAACTTTGAACCCTCTAACACCAGACCAGACACAATACTATTTCCTGGTTCCCCTGGTTCAGCAACATTGTCACAGTTTATCATGCTTTTTCATGTGCAAAATTTTAGATATACAGAAAAGATAATCACAGGATGCTCATTTGCCAGACAAAAGAATTTGGCATATCATTTCTATAGATTTTGAGCTCCCCTACTATATTGAAAAGATGATTCGGAGCACTTACAACATTTCAGTAGTACATTTAATGAAGTCCCCTTGTATTAATGTTCGACTTTACTTACTGCAATGAGCTAAGTAATCGTGAAAACTCCCTGGCTGCTGCGAGGGTCTTCAGGACACTCTCATCTTGACAGTGGGAAATCTTTCTTTATGGATGAGAGGATCTGGTGATAACAAAATAACCCACTCTCTACTCATTGTCTTCCCATTAGGCAAGTGGGCAACTTGACTTTTCCTTGCATATGACTATAGACATGTTTTCCCTAATTCTTATTGGTGCAACACTGATGGCTGCCATTGTGGAAGAAGGGAACAGGGGAGGTCTAGAAGAAATGAAGGGATCAATAGGGAGAAGCAGCCCAGCGGTTGTGGCTCAGTGGATTGAACATCGTCTCATGGACTGAGAGGTCCCAGTTCAATTCCCAGTCGGGGCACATGCCTGGGTTGCTAGCTCGATTTCCAGTAGGGGGCGTGCAAGAGGCAGCCAGTTGATGTTTCCCTCTCAAACTGATGTTTCTATTACTCCCTTCCTCTCTCTCTAAAAAATCAATAAAAACTTATTTTAAATAAATAAATAGGGAGAAGCAGCTGAGGGGATCTCGTTGGTCTGGGTCGGAGGGTGGCAACAACCTGATAGAACTGTGAGAGCGTGGTGGGTTGTGGGGGACACTGGCAGGTGGGGGTGGGGGAAAGCAGAGAGAAGGATGAGTGAGTCAAAGCTGAGTCACAGATGGCCAGCACTGAGGGCCTGCAGCAGGAGCTTGGAAGATGCTGGCTGGAGGTGGTCACGTGGAGAGCTGTTCAGGGCACTCAAGGCTGCGACACCTCGGAGGAGCACAGAACACGGGCAGAGGGAGACGATGGGAAGCCATGCTGTGGCGAGCGCCCTGAAAGCTTCACAGGGCGGAGACTGGCCTTTGTAGGTGAGCTGTGAAGGCTGGAGCAGGCTGCGTTCGATCAAAACTGGGCACAAGAACAGGCGGACACAGGCTAGGTCTGCGGCAGATGGAGTGTCAGGGGGCGAGCTCGAGTTTCCCAGGAAGACACCCGGCACTGTGTCCGCAGCAGCTACCGTGGATGACACGATAAGGAGCTTTCGAGCACAGGAGGGGTTTCAGAGAACTCCATTACCTTACAAGGAGACTCCACTCCTCCCAGAGTTGGACGTGTGATCAAGGAAACAAGACAGTGCATCAGCCAAGCTGATCAGACTTGCTGAAGGAGTCAAGCGATGGGTTCAGCCCAGTGAGCTGAGGTCTAAAGCCAAAAGACGGTGCTGCAGTTTGAGGTCATTTTCAGAAACCGTTATCAACAAATACAAGGGCCCACGTGTATAGACATAGGAGAGGGAACAGATTAGCATGCTGCCTTAGGGACCACCTTAAAACAAACCCAAGGGCCATCAAGATGAACAGAGCCCGATGCCACGGGGCCGTCTTCCATGGTATCTGGTGAACCCAACACTCTGTGTCTTGGAACTTGAACTCCGCATGAGCAGTTCCAGAGCATGATTCTTTATCTCATCCTGGAGTATTTGGCTCCCTAGTCATAATAAACAACGTGAATTTCTCTATCACTCAGTGTCTAAAATATCTCAAAGCTAATTTGCATGTAAAACATCTTGTTGCTCCTCCAAAACAGCTCCTCAAAGGGCAAGAAAGGGCCAATCACTTTCTTTGAGTCAGCGTTCAACAGCTAATACGATGTGCAGCCTGAAGATCTGTTTCTAGTGTTAACTACCAGAAGGAAAGAAGCTAAAAAGATAGCCTCCTAGAATTTCCTCGGTGACCTAAGTGAGGATTCGCCGAAGAACTAGCCGTGTTCAAGTCTTGATAGAAATTGGACGAAAAGCCTTGTTTCCTAGACACTGTCCAGTCCTTCTGCCCTGGGTACACGAATAAAGGCTCTCTGAGAGTCTGCTATCTTTGAAGGCCCTGCCGCCGGCCCAGCAGAGTCGCTCTGGCACCTTCCACTCTTACTGGCTGACAGCTGAGGGGTTAAGGGTCACTACTCTCCTTTCTCCCTTCCCCTCGGTCCCCTCCAGCCACGGCTAATACCACAGTGCGTGTTCATTTGTCTCAGCAAGATGAAGCGAAGGACAGTGGCATTTCTTCTAAACATGACTTGATTTTCTTTTTCTTCTCGAATCCTCCTCTTCCTTCTCTACTCCCACGGGACATTACGCAGACCTCTCGATGAGGCCTGGAAAGTCTTCATTGCTCCAGTGAGCTGTGTTATGACACTTTGAGTCTCGCCATTAAGTCAATATTTAGAAGTGCAATTTAGAAATGGCAGTAGTTCAAGTCTTCCTGTCAGGTAGATAAAGCAGCAGACTGAAAAATTGATCAGCGGTGAGGAGTCCCAAATACCGCACCTCCAGTCTTGAGAAATTGAATATTGTAAACAGACCCTTTATGACCCTGCCCAGTGCTGCCATTGAGCTGTGCAGGGGAAATGTGCCAAGGAAATGATCCCAGGCCCTCAGTGGGCTATTTCTTTGGGAAAGCTCGAAGAAATCAGCCAGCAACTACATAACCAGGACCTAGTAGTGTTTTGCAAAGAATTAGAGCTGATTGTGTTCGTCCCTGATTTTATTCCGCTGCCCGGTCCTTGTGGCCTGAGGCCCAAGGAGTTTTATGAGAGGGAGAAGGAAGACACTCCCATATCCATTTCATCTGGAGAGTAACCCAAAGCAGAGAAGGATGCCTTTTTTGGACAACCAGTGCTGCCTTCACAGTGGTAGTGGTTTTCAAGTTTATTCTTGTGGCTATCATGAAATACAAAAAAGGTACAAAAAATAGTGACCTTTTAGGAGTCTGTGATTCACTCTTTGGAGTGAGCACTCGAACACGCTGAGCTCCACACCCTTCCTCGTGAATTTTGCAGTGTTCTCTCTACAGCGGAGCAGTCAGGAAAACTTGGGGGCACCCCTTCGTATGGCCCTGGGATGGTGTTGGGTGTAGTTCTGGGCTCTTCTACTGGCCTCTGTCCTGGGCAGGTGTTCAGGCCAATAAGACACCTTCTGTGTGGGGAAAAAACACATTTCCACCTGGCTTCCCCTCCCCAGATTCCGGAGATGAGCTGGGTGGGCAATTAATGGTGGGCAATCTGACTCAGTATCTGTCATGTTTTAGTTGTTAAAATCAAGGTGATTTCACCAGAATAAGTAAGGAGGCATATCTTGGCTATTGATTAAGAATTGTGGATTGTTCACAACATCTTCTCCTTTCCTGCTGTGAGGGTTCCCGACAACCTTCCGCGGGGCTGCTGACCAGACCATGAGGCACAGGGAAAGTAGGAGCCAGCATCAGTCACACAAAAGTGCGAGTGGACATTGTGGCCAGGTTCTTTGACTCTATGTGACTTCAAATATTTGGATAAAAACTGGAATTTTTTTTTCAGGCAAATATTTGACATTGCAAATACAAGGGATCCAGATTTTCACTAAGTTTCTCAATAACATCACCAATTTATCATTAACGTTTAAGACGTATGGAATTTTAGAACCAGGAGAGGCACACACATGTAGTGTGCTGGTGGTTCCTACACTAGTCAGTCAAGACCTCTTTAGGAAACTGGTAAGAACTATGGCTTCCCTTTTCCAGAACAAAACACCCACACATACTACACTAACAATTTTGTGTTCACGCAATACAAGAGATCACAATGATGAGAACTGCCAAATGGTCTTCCATGGCAACACGTATTTCTATAATGTCTAATTAATTTGATTTTTTAAAAATGCAACATGTACATATGTTAACAAGTCACCAAAGTATCCAATGAAACCCAAGCTCTTGTAATTAATGTTGTCTGGCAAGAGTAGACTTGGATCATATTCTCTAAGACTCTTGGGGTTGAATTTACCTTGAGTCATTCTCTTTGTGTGTCAGTAACGTTGGTAAAATCTGCATCACTGATGTTGTCTGTCTGTGTCAGCAAGAAAAAGATTACAAATTCTCCTCCAAGTTGAGGTTGTCCCAAAGAAGTAATCTTTAAAAGCAAGATTTCTAGGCATCACCATTTCTTTTTTTTTTTAAATAGTCTTTATTTTTTTTTAAAAAAGCTTTTTATTGTTGACACTGTTATAGATGTCCCCCCATTTCCCCCCTTTGCCCCCCTCCACCCAACCCCTGCCGCACCCCAGGCCTTCACCACACTATTATTTGTGTCCATGGGTTATGCATATATACACATATGTTCTTTGGTTAATCTCTTCCAGTCCTCCTCATCCCCTCCCCTCTGACATTTGTCAGTCTGTTTCATGTATCCATTCCTCTGGACCTATTTTGTTTGTTAGTTAATTTTGTCCATTAGATTCCACATATCAGTGACATCGTGTGATATTTGTGTTTCTCTGACTGGCTTATTTTGCTTAGCATGATAATATCCAGGTCCATCCATGCTGTTGCAAAGAGTAAGAGTACCTGATTTTTCACAGCTGCATAGTATTCCATTGTGTACATGTACCATAGCTTTTTCATCCACTCATCTACCAATGGACACTTGGGCTGTTTCCAGATCTTAGCAATTGTAAATAGCACTGCTATAAACATCAACCATTTCTGCTGCAGAGAAATCGAGGAGACGTTGCCTCTCTGGACTGCTGCCTGGAGAAGCAATTCCT